AAACTAAATACTCCAAAACATACTGGGCAATGCATTCAAGTGAAAACTTAATTTTAGATGTGTTGACATTGTAGTATCAATTAGAATGCATTCACAAAAAAATATAAATCACGCCCAAATTAAATATCAATTTGGTCAATTTTTGCAAGTGTTTGAACGCCACGGGTAACCCACGGGTTAACCCGCGGGTTGACCCGTCCAAGTCTATCCGGGTGATCATAATCACAACCCGGATACCTGACCCACCCAGGTATACCCGGGTTGAAACACTAATACGAGGTTTATTAAAAAAAAAGATATGGGGTCTTTGCCTTAAAAATGGAGTTCCGAGGTCCCCAACAAAAAATTAGATTTTTGCTAAATATTAATCTATAAGACATAAAGTTTATTTGATATAAAATTTATACTCTGTTAACTTAATATTAAAACGGGTAATGAGAGGTTGAATCTTTTTGCTAAATTTGGCGGGAAAATTATCTGATGATCTAAAAATAGAACTAAAATGATCGACGTACTGGATAAATATTTTGCCGTACTTATTCATTTGACTGGTTTTGTACTACTATAGATTTTGCCTTGAAAATGACCCTATGAGACATCATTACACAAATTTAATCGTCATCCAATCATAAAAGAACACTACTATCACGTGTTACTACCTTAACGATTGCTATAAAAATCTATATCGAATACCTAATATTCCCTCAAACGTTTTGATATTAACTCTCATGATTAAATTATTGTTATCTGTTTAAAAAATGTTTATTCTCTATAGTATTAACTAATGTGCACGTTAACTTAGCATTAGAAGTAGATCATGAAGGTGTTGTCAAGTAATTTTGGGTGATCCTTACAATTTTATTCAGCAAAAATAAATTTTACTAATCAGAATTTTATGAGAAAAATTACAGTAATGCAAAGACAATTGTGACCAGTTTAGTTAGATAAATTTGTAATTCGTTATGATGCAAAATGTAAGATAGTGCATTAAAGTAACATGCATGTTGTCTTAAAGCTTTATCATTATATTTGAGTGTGTGAGAGTGAAAATCTGTAACCACTAATGGTTTAATACAGTAAGCAACAGGTTTTTATTCTCACACACTCATTGTAACCTAATTCCTTAGTAAAATTCCGTAATGCCAAAAACTTCATATTCTGATGTATACATACGTCAATTTGCAGATAAACTTTTAACCAGTATAAAATTATAATGTTAGGCGTGCATATAGTGCTTGGTGGGTACGTATAGAATCAAGTCTACAAGTATGATACATGTTGTACTGTATAGAAGTTGTTATAAATGTGAAAGAAAAGAAATGCCAGTACCTTAAGGTCTTGAGAACTTCTTCTGTCATCCGTCCTTCTAATAATAATAATGTAAGTAGTATTGTTATTATACGTGTATTTTTATAAATGCAAACTCCTAATTAATTATCTTGCACACATTGACTTAGTCAAAAGTGCAGATGCCATTTATAATCTAATCGTTCTTTTTTAATATTCTTATAAAAATATTTATCATACGTACCATATTTATTTATTTTTTTTAAAAAAAAAAATGTCTCAACAATTAGCTGTTAATACTTTAAGGCCTGTTTACAATTTGGTTGAATTAAAATTAGACGATTATGAAGAAAATAAGCTAGTTCTTGATACTATTTACGATTTAAAAGCATTTTTTGAAAATCCTAATAATTGTACTTGCCATCAAACTCCAAAACAAAAAGATCTTAGAACTTGTTTTGAAAAAGTAGGGTTTAAACAGTTTTTTGAAAGACATTTTGAATTAAAAGCTTTAGAAGAATGCGAACTTGAACTCTTTATAAAATCACAATTAATATCATTTGAAATTAGCGATGAAAAATCAAAGAATAAAACACATAAACATACATATAAATATAATTACAATAATTCTTTACTTCTTTGTAAGCCAGTATATTTAAAATTATGTGAAATTAGCGATTACTTACTTTCTACTTTACAAAATCATTTACAATTGAACGGATTAACTAAACGTATTCATGGGAATGCCGGACATGTATCTAAAACAGAATCAAGAGTTTTTTTAGATTATAATATAACATTTCCCATTAAACAATTTTTAACTCAATACGGAGCAATTTACAGATTTCCTTCTCCATTACGGCATCAAGATGATTCTGGTGTTTTTATTTATCTCCTAACCAGCCAAACTTATACTTTAGTTTATAACGAATATAAAAAATACTTTTATCTTATACATGATCAATCTGAAAAAATAATTTCTTATTTTACTTTCAGAAAATTATAGTATGAAATGATTCCAAATCTTCGATTTCAGCCACCTGCAAGCGATCTTTGTGAAGTTTGCACTTCCTTTAAAGCCAAATTATTAGCTGCAAAACAAGATGTCGACGAATATAATAAAGTTCAAGCCGAGTATAACGAACATAAAGAAGCCGCAGATTTTGAAAGACAACATTATAATAATAACATTGAAGAAAGTAAAAATAATTTAGATATTACACATATATGTTATGATTGGGTGCAGAATGTTTCTATACCATATTCGCCACAACAAGTAGGTTCGCTTTATTTTAAATCTTCCTTTTCTGTACATATTTTTGGTGTTTGTAAAACTGGCAAGCAGAACTATCAGTTAAATTTTTTAATTGGTAAAAATGAATTTCCCGAAGGCGTTTCAAAAGGAGCTAACACTACATTAAATATGATTTATTATTTTCTTCAAAAAGAAAATCCTAAAAAAAAAAATTACGAGTTACTTGCAATAACTGTAGTGGTCAAAATAAAAATAACCTATCGCTTTGGTTTTGGTCTTGGTTATGTTCATTAAATTGGTATGAGGAAATCGTTGTTAATTTTATGCTTCTCAGTCACACGAAATTTATTTGTGACTCATTTTTTGGACAAATTAAAAAAGTTTATAGAGATAATCGTGTTAATATTATTGACGATGTTGAAAATATTATAAATAGTTCATCAAGGAGAAATGAAGCAGTTCAATATAAAAATGGTAAAGGATGGGTTTGGCACAATTTTAGTGCTTTTTTTAAAAATAATTTTACGACTTTACCAAATATAAAACAATATCACCATTTTCGATTTAATAGCTCTGAAATTGGAAAAGTTTATACTTCAAAAAAAATTGGGTGGAGAAGAAACTCCTTTTCAATTATTACATAATTTCAAATTTGATAAAAATAGTAATCTAAATACTTTTTCTACTATATCATTATCAGATGACTGCAAAAAATATTTATATATGAAAATTCGTCAACACGTTAATAACTCATATAAAGATGTTCTTTGTCCAAAGCCTTAAAATTTTTTTTATTTTTAAAATATTTCGAAGTATTTAAGGAAGTTAGTATTCTGAGGCGTTTGAGAGAGTTAACATCATAGACAATGAAAAATGTGTGATTAAAGTTCTAAAACTAGTAAAGAACAAGCAAAATATTAAGAATTTGCAAAATTTGGTTGGAGGGCCAAATATTATTTCGCTTTAGACATCATAAAAGATTCAAGGCAATTAATAGATCAATTGTAAGTATAATTAATGATTAATCATGCAACAGTTACCTTTATATGAAGACGATAGTAGTAAAATAGGCTGTTTTTAAGCTAAATTCATTATAATATTAGAGCAATAAAAAATTGCAAAACTATTAAATTATCAGGCTGAGAAAAATCTTCAATATATCGAATGTATAACTATTAGATGAAACCTATCTCTTAAGCTATAGAGTTCGTATAACAATTTTAACAATTTTAGCTTAAAAATAGCATAAATTTAGTTATGATCTATTTTTTTTAATATTTAAAATATTTAAATAAAAT